GTTTAATGAGTCATACTTAGCAGTATGTTTGTGTAGTAGTATGTATTATATGAATAGTGCTTATTATATATCTTACGGTAGATATATACTGCGTATGTTATCGTCGCAAACCATGAAGTCCGCCCATACCGTATGAACTGAAACTAATTTGCTTTTCGGCCCAAACTGATTATATGTAGTTTTTACCGCATTACTGTCAACGTCAGCCTACTAAAGACAAAGCTAGACGTAAATTGAAATGTGCATGCAACGATAGTGAGACCTAGATATATATCCTATGATATATAAGCTTAATGATAATCCAGTAAACAGCGGTATTTTTGGCTATGATTGATCCGAAAATCAGGTTCAATCCATACCAGTATGAAATGAATTGTGAATATCAGTCTATACTGGTATCGACAACCATACTTTCGATTATGGACTATGGATGGATTGCCGCTTTTGACGGTATTATATATACTATACGGCTGTCGCGTACTGTATATAGCACATGATCTCTGCGTTGTATATATGGCATGTAGGCAGCTATTATGTCCTCTTTGTAATATATGTGCCTGCTTATGATGTTTATATACCTGAGGATGCGTAATGAGTTATATGATGAGTCATGCACGATATCATATGCGTACCATATCGTATGCATGTATATAGTAACCGTAGCTAGTGTGCCATTTATTATATGAAAGACATACTTAACAATATGTATATGAGAGTAATATATTATCATGTGCGTATTATATAGTATGCATGCTCATGGTAACTATCGCTAATACGTGCAATTTATTATATGCATTCATACTCTGTAGTGTATACATAGCACAGTACACAACTGTGTTATTTACTTGTTATTAAATAGCAAATGACACATATTAGATGGCATGCATGTATTTACTTATAGATTATTGTCATATTTTTCAAGGCAGCATGTGTGGCGATGGAACAACCAAATACTGTCTTTTAACATATTTTGTAGATTCATTTGGACTCTAATACTGGTTCAGAAAGGCGACGATATCGGTGTGCAAGTTTAGACAGCATTGAAGTTTCAGTTGTGAGTATGAAACTAACTGGAACGTGTTTTCTTAATCATTTTTCTCGCTATCGTGATATTATCTATTATTTATCTACCGGATCTTTAGTTTACGATGACGATCAGTCGTTATCTTCCATTCTGAGGTCAAACGGCATTTGAAAGATTTTGTTAGAGATAATCCGTACAGACGACGTCCTCCATCATTCAGTTATGTCAGATCTTATCGGTGCAAAGTACGCAATTAGCCTACAGGATTCTAATTATGATAGTATAGTGTAGTACATAATTAGCATACTAGACTTGTCTGATTAGTGATTTGT